TGGATTTAGAGCTGTATATGTTTCAAAGGTAAAAGCCTACCATCTCAAAGGCAATTAATTGCAAAGTAGAGTATGTAGGTGCACTATATAGCGTCTGTGTTCCTGACTCAGTGCTATTCAACATCTTTACCACTGATGTGGAAGAAAATATAAAATTATTTTCAAGAGAAACGGAGATGAGGAATAAAGCACATGCAGCAAACAGGGTAAGGAATTACCCATTAACGCCAACATTTGTTGTCTTTTCAAGATAGATGATGCAGGAATTAGTGTCCTGATGCAGGAATCACAGGTGTATTTCCATGCAAGGTCAGACAAGGTGATCGTGATGGGGCTTTCTGGCATGAAAAAGCTATCGATGCACAGGAATATTTCACTTAGAAATCCCGAAATATTCAAAGATGTTAGAAATAGATGTGTGTTTTATCTCAGAGTTTTGCCAACATCTGAGTAAAAGTAATCCAGAATGAAGATATGCAGTACAGAATGGATAGTGCAACTAGGTAATTTCTAGAAAGGGTGTTATGCAAAATTCTGTGAGCACTTCATAATGTCATAGTGCTTAGTAAATACAATATTCATGTGGCAAACTAGAGATGAAATCAGTGACAGGGCTGGAAGTTAACTCAAGTGTCCTGACCCAGGCTCTGTTGCTCCTGAATTATTTTCTTATAATGCTGAAGAAGATAAAGAATGACAGTGGACATCAAATTAGCTGTGTTCTCATATAATTACTTGTGCTGCAGGGTAAGGCAAAACCTGGGTCCTCTACTGAATACGTAGTGGAGTGGTAGCTCTAAACCTGGGTTCTTTATGGGCCTGTCATTACTGAACTAGTATTAGGCAGGAAAGGATTGATGATGGTAAGAGAGTGGTAGTGACTTAGAGATATAAAGCCCTAACCTTGGATACGACCCAAGAAAAGGGAAACACTAATGTAAAGTTTTTGCAAGATGTAAGAATGAAGAGGGAGAAATTACGTAAGGGCAGAATTACAAGCTGCTAGGCGTCTTATTTTCTGATTTTTTACTTCCATGCTTACTCGTGATGAATGGCAACGGCTTTTTACTCAGAGACTCTAGAGTTTCATTGCAGGAGGTTTTGGGAAGCTCTGGAAGAGGTTTTCCAGCAGTCCGTTTAAAAGCTGTAACTTCAAGTGCTGCTGAACTGCCTCCTGGGTCAGCAGAGACTTTTCTTGCTTGTTAGGGGGCTGGTAATGCCGTGCTGTATTTTGTCCATTTAGTGCTGTCAGTTTTTGCAGAAACAGAAGAGACAGAAAGCAAAATACTTTAAAAGAGGAGACAAAATTGCGGTGAAATGCTGGAGGTTTGCAAGCCTGGGGATTGAATTAAACAAAATCTGGGAAAACAGACTGTAGCAAAGAAACAAAGACAAAAAATAGGGTAGAAAAAGTCAAAACCTCTCTAGAATATTTCTGTGAGAAGAGTCACAGCTTTCGGAGCTGGGAGAACCGGTGCTGTCAGAGCAGCAGCTCTGGGACGTGGCAGGAGGGAATTTACACCTTGTGATGGGAAGGATGAGAAAATTGACAGGAGATGAGAATGGGATCTGGAGAGAGTTAAGATGTCTTTGAGTGGAGAAAAAGGAGGGGGAAAAATCAGATGAGCCTTGTGGGCTGGAGTGGGCAAAAAGGCTGTAAGGAGGGCTAGGAAGGAGAAATGATGAAGTGGTAGAAAAACAGATGATGGTTTAAGAGGGGGACTCGAGAATAAAGAGGGGTTGATGGCAGAAGACCAGCTCAAGTGACAGCTGCCTTGATGAGTTAGGACATTTCGGGCTGGATTCGCCGATCAAATTAAGATTTGATGCCAGTAAACACGCAGATAAGGAGCTGGGGAATGAGTAATCGATGTGGAGCCTTCAGGAAGCTGATGCTGTGGCGTGAGGAAGAGAAATGGGGTTTGGAAAGGCACGTTGGTGGGGAAGAGGGGAGCAGGGTGGTGCCTGCATTGCTTTAATGCAACGTAAAGGAAAGAGATGTAAAGGAAAGAAGCGCATCAAAGCGCATGAGGTAGAGCTCTCCTCCTCTCCTCCGCCTTTCTCCTCCTATCTTAAATGCTTTATAATTTATTTTTGAACACTTGTCTTGGATAGGAGAGAATAGAGCTGGGGAAAAATGACCCTTATTTTTTTTTCAGCTCCCTGCACTAGTGAACCTAATAAAAAAAAAAATAGAAAACAGTCATTCTTTTTATCCTGAGGCTTCAGCTAGATACCACATTCTCAATTTCCTGCCTTAAATTTCTGTGTTGTAGTTTTGAGATGTTAAAAACAACTTATGTTGTAAAAGAAAACAAAAACTACCAACAGCAAAAACAACTCTTTTTTTTTTTCTCTGTTCTGCCATATAAATAGTATTCCGTGCTGGTAAATATTAAATGCTTATATTGCAGAGAGAGGAACCAAGTGGAGAGCATCTGTTGTGTTCCCACAACAGTACGGAGCCGTTCATTAATGGGGCAGAGCTGTTTCATGCACTGCGTGATTCTGTATTTTTCTTATTCACAAAAAAAGACTAAATCTCACTATAGGATGCAGCTGACTATTCGGAGCAGTCACTGGCATCTCATAAAGGACCCTGGTAGATTTTTGCTTTTGGAGTAGAGCTAAATGAGTTTCAGAAAATGCCTTTATTGGTTGTGATGCTGAAGTTCTTGCCAGCCATGGGCTTTTCAGACTGGAGAAAGATTCTGGTGCCACAAAGGAACTAAGATGACTTTAGAAAGAGGTTTGTGCGCCTTGCCTTCATTACCAATTGATAAATTAAATATAGGGACTTCTGGGAAGGTAAAAAAGTGGTGATTTTTGCCTACTGAGTACTAAAAATTCTGCGTGCTGCTTGAACTTGAGCAGATAATGATGTCTGCTAAAAACATCACTTCTGACCCGTGTGACCTATTGATTTTTGAAGCATTTCCTACTACTCCCTTCCAGCCATAAGGACACCCATGGGTTGCTTTTTTGCAAGTTTATCTAGGTTTGCAAATTTGGGTGCACATATAGCAACGGTTTCCTTGGAAAGTTCAATAATTAACAATTAAATTAGTGATAATATAAATGATTTATTGAGAGGAGTCGACCTGTTTTCATTCTACGTGTGTACTCTTTTCGACAGCGTGTGGCAGGTCACGCTCCCTTGGTCCGTTTTCCTTGGGGATATTACCAGTTTTAAACCCAGAATGGATTTGCAAGTTCTGTGTCCAGCTGTGCCGCACTCCCCTCTCTTCCTGCCCCTACTATGTCTTTTTTTTTCCCCGTTACTGCTGATTCCTTTTATCATCCTGGAGGATTTCCTTTCTACCTCAGGCCTTTTATTCCCATCCCAACTCGGAGAAGACGCCGCAGGAGGGAACATGCTCCGCTTGCCCCGCCAGCGGTTGTGCCGGGAGCATCAGGTAGCGCACACCCAAGCGCACACCTCGCCGCGCACACCCGCCGCCGCCTGTTGCCGGCAAGCCCGACGGATAACACCGCTCCACAGTGCCTCACCTAGCAGGTGGTCCGGGAAAATAATTAGAATAATGGCTGGAATAAATCAAGGGCTCAGCGGGGATAATGGAATTGTTACCAGAGCAGACACCTCATCCTGCGGAACGCGATAAACATTCGGCTTTGCTGCTGGAGCACGAGAGAGAGGAGGTGACTCTAGGGGTAAATGGTTGGGAGGACTCATGAATCACACTTGCCAACAGGGCTACCAAGCAGAACTTCAGGATTTAAGCAAAAGCTTTAGCAGGCTAAAGAATTCCCGGGGCACTGTTGCTAATTCCTTCTGTTTCTGCAGAGCCACTAGGTAGTAATAGCAGGGGCAACAAACTGCAGCTGTTCTAGTATAAATTTATATTAAGCGAGTAACATTTATTAATGGAGAAGGTATTGCTGGTTTTGCTTAATTTATTTTTTCTGTCGTCTCCGTCTAAGCTTGATTCTCTTTGGTTCCACTTGGTCCTGCAGGAGAGGTGACTGCAGGCCCATCTGAGGCCACACAGGAATAAAGAAGTGAAGGTGGAAATGCAAGATCCCAGATTCCCAGAACAGTTGAGTTTGGAAGGGACCTCTAGGGATCACCCAGTGCAACCCCTGCTCCAGCAGGGACACCCAGAGCACGGGGCACAGGGGGGCATCCAGGTGGGTTGGACATCTCCAGAGAAGGAGCCTCCACAGCCTCTCTGGGCAGCCTGTGCCAGGGCTCGGGCACCCTCACACCAAGGAAGTTCTTCCTCACACGGACATGGAACCTCCTGTGCTTTAATTTATACCCATTACCCCTTGTCTTAATGATCCAAGCTTAGGCAGAGAGCTGCTGCCTTCTCTGGGGTGCTGACCACGGGAGAGAGAAAAATACCATCCGAGTGCCACGACAGGCCATTCAGCTGCCCTGAATCAGGGAAACGTATTTGATCGTATTGCAAGACCTGAAATGTGGTTGTTTCACCCCCAGCTGTAAATGCAGTTACTTTTCCTGAGGGTTTTCATTTTTTATTAAGGAGCTGAATTTCATAATGAAATTAATATATCACAGCTCTATCAAGAGCTTTTAATAACTGTAATAAATGATGATTAAGCTGCTGATCTACATTGATTTTTACTCTTCTGGGAAGACAATTATCTGTGTTTTTAAATACATCTCTGAAATGTTTAGTGGGTTAAATGATTTGCCTTTCTGCTAAGCACCTCGTAGAAATGCCATCGCTGGCAGGTGGCT